TCATTTGAAGGGTATATATTTGAAATTATTACACAAACATATAAATGTGAAAAGACTTTGTTTATGAAAAGGAAAGTTGTTTAAATGGTGGAACGTTTAACAAACTCAGATGGTCTCAAATCTCCCAGGCTGTGGCGTAATTGTGAAAATACGAATCGTACAAACTTGTACATTTTTGTTTATATTGTTTTTGGCACTTTTTTCTGCCTTTTTTTAAACAAAGCCCAGAGTGAGTGGTGGGCAGGCAGTTTTTTCCTCCTTCCTGCCAGACTTGGATGTTGAAGCCAACATTGAAACAGGATATTGTTGGGATAAATCTTGGCATTTTGAGCCTCCTGAAAAATCAAATGTTGGATAAAATGTTGGTTTCAAGTGCACACACAGACACACACACACACACACACACACTGTGCTGTTCATGTGTTTTCCAGAATATATGTAGAACGATACGATCAGCCGATCAGATGTGTGGTCTGTTCTGTGTTCTACTCCATAGAAACTGATCTTGTTTATTGGCTCCGTGGTCTACTATATATGATGCTGGTGGTGACAGTATGTTGCCAGTACATGCAGTAAATACTGTGTATTCAATAATACTGTGGTTTACAGATTGTGTCTTTAAAAGCCTGGTGGCCAAGAGAAAAAACATCAAGTTTGTGCGTCACTGTCAGTCAGCAGGATGGTTTCAACCTTTAAAATCATTTATTTTAAAGAAAACATTTTGGCCACAATTTAATATTATTGAGAGTCGGAATCCATACCCAGAAAACACAATAACTCAATCACTGATCCAGTCCAGATCCAACACTTACGACACATGAAGTATTGGCACTTAGGTGGCCCACAGATGTGGGCCTTTACAGTCATCATCGAAAATGCTAAGAGCATCACATTTACACATTTAATGTGTTGAACCCACATTTGTTATAGATTTGTAGGTATGAAATGTTGGCTACGTCCGACTCAGACCCAACTTGTCAGAAGGACTTATTAGTTGGATGGAGCTGAGAAAAAGATGGGTGTTTTATTCATGTTATGGTGGTCTGGGGACTTGCACTAAAACAACAGTGGTGTCCCAGACAGCATCTCTATGGAAGACCTGTCATGTTGATGGTGGACTACGAGGGTTAGACCTACATACAGGAGATAGAGAGCACCTGTTAACATCTGTGTCCCAAAATGTTCCTGCATGAACCCCTGTCTGGGCAACACGGTCCAGTTTGGAGGGTTGTTGGTTTGGTTCCACCTTCTCCTCTTGTCAGATTGAGTTTTGTTTTTTTCTTCACACAGTTTAGTAACATGCAGCATTAGGACAACTGTTCACTCTAACTGGACCGTAGGCGTGAATAGTTGGTGTTTTGTCTCTATGACCTGTGATGGACTGCCCTCGCCTGATGACTGCTGGGATTGGCTCCACCTCCCCTCACCACTGTTACTTGGAAGCAGCCACTGAAACTAAATGAAGAAAAAATGAAGTATATTTAAATGTGACCTTTTTTCATATATAAATGAACCAGTGAGCTCGGTGATGTCATTCAACAACAGAAGAGAGCGGTGCTGCGCCCGCTGGTCATTTACATTCCTACCACGCAAATGTCCTTCGGTACAGATGTCAGCGGCAGCAGTTGGTCTCGGGTCAGGCCTCACACTACCGGTAATACGTGCACTTCTACATGTACTGCTCAAAGGCACTCAGTTTTGGCAGCAGCACGGCGTTATTTGTGTTCTAATTAAACACAATTAGCCTGAAACTGAACTGTTATCGGCATCTCTTCAAACAAAGCTTTTTGGATGGATCTCTACGTCTAAACTGAACTGCACATTTGGCGTCTTCACCTCCGCCCACTGTCTATAAACTGTTTCTGAATCCATCCAAATATGATTAGCCCAACAATCACTAACCATTAAGACGCAGGCTCCTATTTGAAGCACTTATTTGCTAATGAGGCGTCTCAGAATACACACGAAGGCTGGGCCAGAAAATCACAGTCTGACCAAAGCAACAGACCACAGACGTGAAGACCAGAATAGTTTTTATTCCTTTTTCTAGCTTGGCTAATATTTAGACAAGGAGTAATATTCTATTCTATGCTTTGAATCACTTATGAAATCATTATGTGGCAACTCCTCACATTCATCTTAAACTTGTTCATACACAGTAAAGGGTTACCGTTTTGTTTTTTTAAAGGACTAAACTGAGCCAGAAGCTAGGGGAATGTTAGCCCAAAATAGCTAACGTTTAAAACCAATAAATGCTAAACATTGCTTGCTAAAAAACAAAATATTAAATACAAGCTACCACAGAAATGACTAAATGTTAGCTGCCAGATAGCTAAAGTTCCAATCCAGTCAGTGTTGGGGTAAGTTTTTGGACCTGGAGTGGGTCTGGTCCAGTGTTTTTACAAACCTGCGTCTCAGGTACTGCAATAAAACAAATGGAAATAACAGATTTGAGCAAAAAGGACTTATACAGGTCCATGTTCTTCCTGCATCATTTCTGTCGGACATTTTTCTAACAGTTTGACCAGTTTATGCAAATAACGGCAACTCAGGGAGAGGGAGAGGGCAGCAGCAGCAGCAGCAGCAGCAGCAGATGTGTGGTTTAGATAACAGACCACAGTCATAATGGGCTGGTAACATGATGTATGGGCCGATTTTAATAACATAAACCTTCAAGTTTCATCTGGAAGCTGCACACACGTGCATACGTCTGGATACACACGCACAGATTGTGCCACATGGCAGTAAAAAACAAACTTCACCCTCTGCTCCTCCTGCTCCTCCTCCCTCCTCTGACTCCCTGGAGCTCCTGCAGCCTCTTTCTCCTTGGTCTGTCTTCAGTTACTTCAGTGGAGCCAGTGGATCCTGGCTCACAGTGGACAAACAGCATGGAGACAAATGTCATGGTACCAACAGTACAGCCCATAATTCTACCCAGTTTACCATGGAAACTATCCTCTTTTAACCGGTGGCCCAAGATAGATATTTATTAGGTTTTTGTTTTTTTTTAAAGAAATTACTTTAGCTAAATGTGAGTTATTCCCGATGGAACTTTGTCAAATTTATTTTTTAACTATTTTGGCTAACGAGGCCAACAAGAAGAGATTTTTGGCAAAGTTTTACATACTTTATCCTTGTTGTTAACTTAAGTTTGCTAGCTTTAAGCTTTTTAATGGTTATCTAGCATATAGAGTTAATGATTACAAACAATTGCTAAACATTAGTGGGTTTTTTTGTTAATAAAAATGATGTCTTTTAGCAAACTTTCTTCATGTATTTTCCTTTAAATTGTTTTTATTGGCTAACCTGTTGCTGTTGAGGCCAAAGTATTAGTGATGCTTCAGCCATCTTCCATGGAAACGCTCCTTTTTTTCCAAGTGTATGATCATTTCCAATTATTAAGGTGACTTTCTAATATTTGAGTTAGACTTTTGCAACTTCATGCTGATTTTTTTTTTTTCAGTTTCTACACCTCCTCTCTTTCTTTTGTGATACTATAGGAGGCAGTAGTTTTCTGACTGTGTGTGGAGGAGGTAAAGAGTTGCTGTTCAGCCTCCTGTCTTCACTTTCTGCAGGGCTGGGTTTGTTTAATCCAGTATCTGAGTCCAATCTTTCATCTGAGCCTTAATTTGAAGGAACTTTGAGAACATTTAGTGTTGGCCTGGGTTCCACAGGCAGTGGTTCTCTGTGGCTGCAGACCAGTGATGTTTTCATTCTCTTTAACTCCTTCCTACCACGTACCCGCTCACCTATAGTACTGTCATTAAGTACGCCAGACGCTACTTCATCTGCTCCGTTACTGTGGTCCTGATAAGAGAAAGTGGCTCCTGACATTGAGCTGTTTCTAATTATGCTGTTTGTTATCACACTGGGCCACCTGTCTGCACGTGCACAGCTCCACAGGAGTGAGTGAGTGGGTGAGTGAGTCCCTTCAGGTTTAAGAACACAGTCATATTTGATTGTACAAGAGTTCCTATGGCTGTGTCAATGTTTTTGCTTCGATTCTGAGTATGTTTGTGGATTTAGGTTCTGTCGTCACATTCTCTCTGTTCTGTTTGCAGAACTGTAGAGAAATGTGGGACTTGTGTTTTTGTCAAAACAAATAACTAATAATGAGAAAAGAACTGTTAATGTTGGGACTAAGTCATTGTTTGCTAAGTTTTCGTAATGTTGTTTTCTTACTTTTATCTGATCATAAACTAAATTCTGTCCTGAGTTGTAATCACCATTTGGCGATTTATTTCTACATTTAACCTGGCTAATATTTTTGCTAACTTTTAGCTTTTTAGCTAGTTAATCAGCAGGAGTGATGCTGTGTGTTTCTGTTGGCATCATAAATATTGAATTCAGTGATTATTCAGATATTTCAAAAACACACAAAGAGAGGAGACAAACATTGTACATCAGCAGCAGCTGTTGATCGTAGTCAGCACAGACTCATTTTTAAATTTCTAAATCCCAGGATTAAACAGACTCCGACTCTGACACCCTGGTCATGTGGTTCCACTTTTGACGTGATTGTATTCCTCCTCATTATTCATTCGAACAGAGCTGCAGCAGTGGCCCAGCACTTGTGGTAAATGCCTTCCATGTGTCTCTAATTGCCTCAGTCGAGGTATTTAAACACAAGGTGAAGTCATTAACACATGGGCACGTCCTCAGATCTGGAGCCAGTTCAGCCCTGGGTTGGAGAGTCGGACCACATCTACTGAGGCTCCAGGCCAGCAGTCTGTGCATCTAAACACCTCAGTTTCAACATTGATGGAAATATATGGTGTAAAATGTTTAAGGATCAATACGTTGTAGCCTTTTAATGAAGCTCTTCTATTGTTTCCTGATTAGAGTTCAGAGATTGCTGAGCTTCAGGCCGCGTTCGCTTCTTCAACACTTCCTCAGTCCTGAAGACGTGCTCAAAACCTTGAGCTGTAATCACATTTGAAGCGAGGTAAATTAACAAAGGCACAATACATGGGTTAATAGCCCCATCTGCTGTTTTACAGAGGGCACTGCAGCCACGCAATTCTGTCCACACGGACGAGGAAAGGGTGGGACAGAATTGGAGCAGAAGGAGGATGTGCAGACTTTTGAAGAACTGGGCTAAAACCTGGTTCCGCTAGAAAATAACGGTCAGTTTTCTGAAAACAAAAACAAAAACCCATCTACCATAAACAGCTAAACATGGTAATAAAAAATGATAATTTTACAAAACTGATTTATATATATATATATATATATATATATATATATATATATATATATATATATATATATATATATATATATATATATATATATATTTATGTACATATAAATACTAATACTATCGATACGGTATATAAATGAATGATCAATTTTAAATTTCTTTTCATGTGATGTCTTAATGGTCTCCCCCTGGTCTGGATGTTAGCCCATGCAGATGAAAACAATTTTTCTTTTTTATTCTGTGTTTTGCATCATTGATCAGCTGCAGCCCAGCACGTCCAGCGTCTACGTCAGAGGGCTTCCCTTTAAGTGTATCTGTGATCCGCACATGGGCCGAGCAAACATTTGAGGACATCCCACTCTGTCCTGCTGTGTTGTATACATTCACGTGCCACGTTGTCACGCACGCACCACACACTACACACACAGGAGCACAAACAGTGTGTCAGAGAGAGGGGACAGAAAGATTGAAAATGTATCTTCATGGATCGACGATTATGCTGCTGTAGATAAATAACCCCCACCCCTCCCCCATGGTATAATTCAGAGTTTGTATCAAAACTAGATCATTGACAAATGCACTGATTCTTTAAAATAATATTTAGTCACAGAATTCCATGACATTGGTTTTGGAAAATGAATGAAACCTTTGCTTTTCTCTTTATTTTAACTGTATTTTACGTGTTATAATACCAAGGAGCAATATGAGAATAGAGAGATGTTTTATGTAATTAGGAAAGTCATGTCAGAACTGAAAACAAATGCCAAAAATGTAGAACATCAATGGCTAAATACATAAGAGAAAACATGTTTTAAAAAGTGTCCATACCTTGCAAAGTTTAAAGTTGAAAAAAATAACAAGGAAATTGATTGTAGCCCCAGAAATAGGAAAAAGGAAATTGATTGTAGCCCCAGAAATAGCTAACTTTTAGCAACAAAAAAAAAAGCTAAACCAGAGTAAGAGTTAGGAGAATAAAATGACTAAATCTGCCAAATATTATTTTAAAGTTCATTATGAATGCACGATAATATATATATATAATTTATCATAATAATAAAATATAAATCGACTTGAATTGAAATAAAGGTATTATTAAAAGCACTGGTTAAAGAAAAGAACATAACAGCTAATGTTTAATGTGACATTAAAGTCAGTTTCATTTAATCCATTGATCATTTAAGACCAGTGTTTACTATCATCTGTCCTGTAGTTTTTGTAATACACAAAACAATGATACCGTAGAAGAGATGGGGGCTTTCAGTGTGTGTGTGTGTGTTTGTGGTGGGGGTCATAAACATGAGTAATGTCCCTTAAATGAGGGGATCATCATTCCCGGTGATTCCCATGAATTTGATTAACAGCAGAAGATACACACAGAGAGGAGGGGGGCAGTGCAGGGGGCGCTATTGATCAATTTAAAGACCTTGTGAATTTGATCCCTATTGTTTGGAGTGAATGATTGGAGATGATCCCAAAGGATTAATAATAACTGAGAAAAGGAGAAACACGTGGGTACCGGGGGCGGAGGTGGTAAACACGTCATGACGTAAAAGTCATGCGTCACTGGGCAAACATGGGCGGGTGAGCTCGCTGACCGGTGAACACAGGATGGGAATGTCAACGTCAAGTATGGGCTTTGGATGGGTAAAAAAAAAAAAGAAAAGAAAAGAAGAGCGTGTTCTCGTGTGCGTCACTGATCCGCGGTTCGTTTACTCTTCAGCCACCGGCTTCGTGCTGATAACAGGCAAGTGAGCAGAGAAACATGAGCAGAGGCAGCGGCGACAAAACACGGCGATAGGGGCCAAACTTTATTTAACTGATCCACGATATAAAAACCTCAGTCAGAAGGAGGAGAGTCAGTGTAAAAATAAGCCACCAACAACAAATGTTTAAAAAACATGTTTAAACTTTTAATTAAGTGATATGAATTCCCATTTGTCTTTAACGACTATTTAAGTCTTACCTTGAGGTGCAGTTGCTATTTTTATGCTATGCTACACTTGGCTAATAAAGCTAATCGTGTTTTCTCTTCAGAGTTTTTTTTAAATCTTTAATCTAATAAAATTGCTTTTGAAGATCACTTTTTGTTAACTCATGGTGTTTAAACATTTTATATATGTGTGCTACCTTTGTTTTCGCTTTTAAATAACTTTTATTTATTTATTGGACCTTTAAGCTGTTTTTGCTATGTTCAGTGCTAACTTTAGCCATAGTGTATTTGAATAAGTCTGAGCTTTGGGCATTCTTTCATCATAATTAACCAAATCCAGCTGTTTAATGTCGTCTTGTACCTAATATTCAGAGACTTCCGTCCATTTTTACCTATTTCGCTTCATTTTCAGCCAACGTATCCATTGTAACATGGACTTCAGCATGACCCTGGTGATAACATGAAGATAGGTAAGTGACAGCTGTTTCTTCTGTTTTCTAAAAATTAACGATAATATCTAAAAGGTACATAGGTTGGTTTTTAAAACTTTAATGTGCTTTAAGGCTTAAAAATAAATACAAAGTGTCTTTTATTTTCTGTGACTTTTAGTCCAAAAACACATTTGATCCATATACAGCCACACAGCTGCCGTTGACTTTGAATGGAAGCTGTCAGTGAGGTTTATCTTTTCCAATTCCGCAGAAAAGTCTGTGTATCTCCACAAACATGACTTTGTTTTCTCTGTAACTGCTGCTCTGACCTGCACATGCAGCTGAAGGGGAATTGGTCTTTTTTATTTATTGTTTGCTTTATGTTCCCACTCTCGGGTCATTTTCACCTTCCCTTTGTCCCTTTTGACACCATTATCAATCAGGGTGGGGGCGGCCATCATGTTCGGATTAATACGGGGGGGTCTGCTCTTTAACACGCACGGTGCACACAGGTATGGAGCTCAGTCCAAGTCTCACTAAAATGACCGCAGCGCCTTTGCGCCTCTGCCTCCTCACCTTCGCCCTCCTCCAGATGAGGAACGTGGCCTCCATCGTTCTCCCCCCGGGCAGAGGGGCGGTGGAGAGGCAGCAGCGCGACCTAGATCCGGACGAAGCTAGAACCGTGAGCCGGGAGCTGGACGCGCTGCTCCATCTGAAAGACTCGTTGCGTGGTCCGGGCACTGCTCCGCAAAAGAAGGCACCGAAATTCATGTTGGATCTTTTTAACGCGGTGTCGGTGACGGACGGAAGACCGAAAAGCCAGAAAGAAATTTTGGAAGGAAACATAGTTCGGAGTTTCGAGGATAAAGGTAAGCCACAAGCCTTTAATGTTTATTTACGTTATTTGCGCTAAATCAAATGTGTAAGAAGTGACTTTTGCTAAAACGTTAATATATGTATGTAGTAAAGATGTTTTGGTAATGCGTAAAAGTCATCCAAGCGCGTAATTACGCACGGTCGTGCTCTTGTTTAACGGGTAAAATTGATGTCTAATTTAAAACTAGCACAGTGAGACCAGTTTGTTTACATGTTTGTTGATGTTTACCATCTGCAGGTCAAGCTGGAGAGAGATTTCACTTCTTCAATCTGTCGTCTTTCGGCAGAGAGGAGAGAATGATCAAGGCTGAGTTTCGTTGGTTCAGAAAGAAACAGAAGTTCTATCTTGGAAAGTCATATAGGCCTCATTTTTACAAGGTAAAGTTCAATCATTCTATGTATTTGAAAATGTATTTCACCTTTATTTAGTCTGGAAAGACGTCATGTAGCTGTGTAGATAAAAACGCACCAGTACTTTATCCATTCAACACCAGACAAAACTGAGCAATTTAAAATGAATTTCCGAGTAAACTGCAGCATCTGTACCATAGAGGCTTTGAGAAGACGTGTATGTGAGTCAACCCCGCCCCCCCCACCCCCCATAGTCCAGCAATGACTCAAGATGATCAGCAAGAAGTCTTTTTTTCTACAAAAGACAAAAAAACCCAATCAGTTTAGTGTTAGAAGCTTGCTGCAGCTGAGAAATAACTAGTTGGTAATGCAACACCTAGAATCTTCTAAGTGATTATACGATTGAACTTCAGGTATTTGGACCCGATATTTCCAGAATAATGGTGTTGGAAAGTCAAAAATACTTTACGTGACTGTTGGTCTTGATCTTTCAGGTGGATTTATATGAGGTACTTGACAGTAGAGTGAAACCATGGAGAGGAAACCTCATCACATCCAGGTTGGTGCCACTCTACACCCAAGGATGGGAAGTCTTCAACGTCACCCAGACTGTAAGAGAATTTAAATTCACATTCAATGTTTTTATATATATTTTTTGTAAGTACATGAATGTTTAACCTGTTTAATTCCTGTGCATCAACAGGTGGCCAAGTGGATCCGTAACAGTCAGGAAAATAACGGCATCCTGGTGGTGACCACACTTCCTTCTGGTAACTGGATGGAATCGTCTGTGTCCACATCCAAGCAGAACGGAGAGATGATGCACACAAACTCCTACCTGGTGATATTCTCAGATGACGGCAGGACAGGAGCGTCCAACCAGTCGTACCTGGGTAAGAGAGTGTCAGTGATGCTGAAAATGATTTGGACTGTCTTTCTGTTTGAAAAAGTGAAATGATTTAAGTTTCCTGGCAACAGTGTGTAAAAGTTGCAGGAGATATTTAATGTTATCATTCATTAAATGAATGGCTTCATAAATGTGTCTTCAACCAAAAAGGTTTTACATTTGTTTGATGTGAATATCTCAGTTCATCAAAATCTTACTGAAGATGTCATTAACTGTGTCCCCTCTTCAGGTCAGGGTCGGCCTGTGGCGGCAGCACCACCACCACTTGAGCACCACAACCACCGCAACAGAAGACGACGGGCATCTCCAGGCTCCTCTTCCTATGGCCACTCCCAGCCCTGCCAGCGGGTTCCCCTCTTTGTGGATTTTGAGGAGATCGGCTGGTCAGGCTGGATCATCTCGCCCCGCGGATACAACGCCTACCACTGCAAAGGCTCCTGTCCATTCCCTCTGGGCGGCAGCCTCCGGGCCACTAACCACGCCACGGTGCGCTCCATCATGCACGCCCTCCGTCTCTCGGCCGATGAAGTGGGCGCCCCCTGCTGCGTGCCTGACACATTGCAGTCCATCAGTTTGTTGTATTTTGACGATGAGGAAAATGTGGTGTTGAAGCAATACGACGACATGGTAGCCCTCAGCTGTGGCTGTCACTAAAACTCTGTTATTTTGTGCAAATGTTTAAATTATTGTATTATTTTTTAGAAATAAAAACAACTATTGTACAACTCTTATCTCCTCTTAGTCGATTGTTTCACCCAAATTCTAAATTGTCTTTCTGTGAAACTAAAAGACTGCCATCAGCATCCAAATACAAAATATTTAAATACATTAGATTTAACAAATTATTTTACTTATTATGTATGTATTACAAGTACCCAAATTTACAGATTTTCACACGATTTGAAGTAAGAGAAGTAATATTAGGAATAAAACCTTTAAAATCTAAAGTAGGCGGTGGTTCCGTTTTTCATCCACACTCTTCAAACCATGTATATTAAAACAAACAAACGGCACTGACATTGCTACTATCGAGTTAACCACAAAAAGATTTCTTCTTATTGTACAACATGCGTCCAAAAAGGTCAGTTGTAGCTTTATAACCCGACCAGCAGATGGTGGTATAGAGCTGTGTTCAGCGTAAACGAAATCAAATCTGTTTACAAGGAAATAAATAAGACACGGTTCTGTAAAAACAGTTGGTTTTATTGGAATGGATCACAGACACAATACAGCCTTGCCTTTACCCTAGTTTAGAAAAAATTCCAAAAGAGACAAACTTGCAAAACTGATTTTTTTGCATATTAAAAAACAGGTAAGTTGCACTAACTCCAGTACAGTACATTATTGAACATATGTGATTTCTATTTCCATTTTGGCATGCAGAACATTTCGACACACTGGCGTGGAACATGAACTAAATTATTTTCTCTTTTTTTTCAGCATTTCTTATTAAGTTTTCTACAGAAGACTTAAGAGACTGGAAACTACAACTCAAAGCATCATGACTTTGCAGGTAGTAGAAACAAAACACTTCTGAAAACAGACTCTACCTGTTGAATATATTAAGGTTGGCATTTACAATAAATATATCACATTTACATTCAAGCTTTTACTTCCTCTTTACACTTAAATACATTATGTACATGGATTGTCCATGTCCTTTGTCTGTCACATGTTATCTTACACCAGTTACTCAGTTCACATTCAAACAGGACCATTCAACATTTATCCACAGTCAAACTTTTCAGTTTATTGTCAGGAACATTTCTTTAAAGTCCATCATCAATATGACAACTGCTAAATCAAGAGTGTTCATAGGCTTTAACACAACTCAGGCCAAACAATGATCCACTGTCTGTATGAGAAATATCTTTAGTTAGAAAAGGAAAATCCATCCTTTCACCTTATTATACATTTTTGGTTTTAAATAAAAGGCATTGGTATATATTTCCATTTCTAAAACTCATTTGTGGCTAATCATATATCTATTCTTGCAATGCAAATATATGGATACTTAGCCCACATTAAGTAAAGAGTTACTTAATTTATATGTAGGACATGTGTGCAGTTGAGCTAACATTATTGAAGAGCTAACACAGGTTCACAGGTTTTTGTAAAAAAGGGAACTTTTCTGTTTTATGTCCAGAACCAAATAACAGATGATGTCCTTCAAACAAGGTCGCTCTTTGTTGCTTTACTGGTCAAGATTCTTTTATAACGTTTTAAAAGAACAAGATTTGCTAAGAACATTATCCTAATAGGTTATGCTTTCTGAACAAGGACCATTTTTGCTGAAAATAAGTCTTTGTACTTCCATCTAGCCCTAGGTAAACAAAGTATATACTATACAGTAGTTCTCAGTTCTCCATCTTAGTCTCTGATACTTGATGCCCTTTGATCCTGAATCATTTATATAAAACTAAATTGAGTGTGTCTTCAAGATGGATTTTTCTTTTCAAACCTCAGGACTTATCAGCTGGGACAGTCCAGCTCCTCTGTGCTCATAAACTCCCCTAGAAAGTGATCATGTTGACCAAATACGGGCTCTAAATAGGGCTGACCCTCTCTGCAGTGCTTTTGCCTTGACCTTTCCAGGTGCCTTTGTTCAAACTCCTCTGGATCCACACTTACAGTTTGGATGGTAGCCTTCTGAGCCATTGGGGACAAAGGCACTGGAACAAAGCCATGGTAAACGACCAGAGGTGGAGTCAAGACCTCCATGGGTGATGGCTGAGGAATGGTGCCATCTTGTGGTTGAACTGGCAGCTGCACATAACTGCCTGTTTCAGGATCAAAGAAGGTTTTTGTCTTGATTTGCACAGGCATATCAACGACAAAATACTGCCCTGAGTCTGGATCCTGCAGGAGCTTGCGTTGGGTCACAGGGAATGACTGGGTTACTATGGCGTGCTCAAAGCTGGACTGGCGTGAAAGCTGGCTGTTGTGGCTTGACTGGCGAGACAGAGTGGAAGGTTGAGGTGCTTCAGTGCTGTAGGCATCAATGCTGTGACTCCTCCTCATTGTGTTTTCTCTAGGTGCCTTGTCTCGGACTCGCCCTCTCTGCTGGAGCCCATCCATGATAGATTTCTCAATGTGCTGGGACCTTGTGTTGACCTTTTCGTTGATAGACATGTCGGCACTAAATCTGCGTTGCACTTTATCTCCTGCTTGTCTGTCAAAGCTTTGTGATCGATTCAGAGGTCTGTCTGCCAAAGACTTCTCACCAACATAAGCCTTGTAGACGGGTACGTTACTAAAAACCCGATCAGTACTGTAACGCCTGGATTTATCTCGAATGTTTCTGTTGCTGCTACGACCTTGTCTTTCATTTGCAACACTGGACAAAGCTTCTTTGCTTATGTTATTGCAGTCCGAGAAATCGAGACTCTGCCTGTGACTATGGCTGTTCACCTCTGCTTTGTCTCTGTGGATGCTTTCAATGGTGTGTCCTCTTTTTTCATGTAGTACTTGCTCACTGCTGTCATTGCTGGTTCTACTGTGGTGATGTTGTTGGTGATGTTGATCATCTTCCCTCTTCTCTCTGTGTTTTCTCTCAGAGCTTTTGCTTCCACTCCTGCTGCTGCTAAGCTTTTGCTCAGATTTGTCACTCTTATGTCTCTCAGATCTGTGTTTGCTGCTGCTGCTGCTTTGAGACGACTTGTGAGAAGTCTTTTGGGCCTCCTCCTTCTTTATCCTCCTGTTTGTCAGCTTTATGGCCTTGAGAACAGCCTTTTCTGATTTAGGTAGGACAGCTGGTGGTTTAGGTAGTCCCGTTTGACTGTCATTACCACTGCAGGTAGAGCCTGAGCGCTCACTGGGAACCTTGGACACTTCATGATCTACCAGGACGCCTGTGCTCATTTTTATCTCTTCAACTGTAACCACTGTACTTGTTGTCAAGCCTTCTACTTCTTCTGATAGTGGACTCACTCCAGAAAACCCACCATCCTCCTGTGGGACTGCAAGGAAATGATTGACCTGAGGTTTCTTGGGCTTTTCAACTGGTAGATTTGAGACTGAAGACAACACAGGAGGTGAAGGGGTCAATACAATCTCTGTAGGTTCAAGGTTTCCTCCTGGAGTTATGGGGGCTAAGGTGTTGGTGTTAGGAGTTTCAGCTTTAAATAGCTTTGGCGTTGCCTTTTCTTGAGGTGCCTCCTCTTCACTCCTCTGTAAAATACTTGTTTTTGGAGCCCAAGTTTGTGCTGTCTTTTTTGTCTTACCATTGAAAGTGTTGTCTTTGACCTTAAATAAGGAAGGGATCCCCAAGGTTGGTGAGAGAGTGTTCGTGGGAGACGTTGTTGTCTGATCATCCTCCTCATGAGTGGAGCTTTGGTCTGTGAATGTAGTTCTTCCATCTTTGTTGACATTGTGTGGAACCTGGGTCTGTTTGGGAGGGGATGTTATTTGCGACCTTATGACCTCTGGCTCACTCTCATGATCACTCAGAGAATAATATTCTGTCCTGTCAGAGTCCTGTTTGGTATGAGGTGATGTGCACTGCATTTCCTTATCAAGCTCTCTAATCATGTTTTCTAACGAATGGTCAACATATGACTCCGTCTCCTCTTTTCTTTGCAGTGCACTGTCCACGGAGAAGTAGGAGGACTTGGAGGACAAGCTGGATTGATCAGGTGGGCTCTGATTAATGCTAACACCATTCACCATCAGTGTGGGTGAGATGATGCTCCTGGGAGTTTCACTGACGGTCTCTGTGTCTGCACTGATGTCCTGAGTGAGTTTACTTCTTTTGCTAACTTCATTTACTTCAACAACTTTTCCTGCTCTGTCATCTGGTGTGAGTAACTGATCTGGTTTTAGAGGGGCAATTTGTTTTACCTTGGGTACTTCCTGTGGCTTAGCATTACTGTTTTCAAACATAGTTTCCCAAGATGGACTTAAATTTGTCCGCAAGTTTGCCTCCATTTTATCTCTTTCTAACTTTGATGCCACTGACAAGTTGGGCCCAGATTGTGTGTCGTAACCAGAAATAGGTGGACTTTGGATGGGCTCAGCTTCTTTCATGAGTAGATTACTGTCAACTTCCTGTTTTTCCAAGCTTGTTGAACTAATATTATTCAGACATGTCTCACCATTTTCAATCATCTCAGTCTTGTAGAAGATATCTTCATCCAGCATACTCATGCTATCGTGTCTTCTGCCACCTATTCTTTTGCTCCTGGGAGGAACTCGAGGCGTGTCTAAGGGTTTGCCTCTAATTTCTTGAAGTAAACTTTCAGCACTTTCTTCTGAGACTCTCCTCTCAACATATCTTTTATCTACTTCCTCTAAATTGTTGCCTGGATTATCAGCTAGTTTATTAAGAACAAGGTTACCCTGATTTTTTGGCTGTGGCTCAACCCTGTCCATGCCTGGTAAAGCTATCCTACCACCTAGTCTGTGACTTTCACCAAGTCTAGGTTCAGTGTGTGAGAGAATCTGTCTCACATGATTATGATCTCTCAGCTCTGTTAACCTCTCTCTGACATCTGTCTCTTTTAGCAAAGATGTGCTGGAATTCTTTTTTTCTCTGCCTTCCACCATTGAATCCTTCATAGCGTGTTTACTTTGCGGAATCCTTTTTACATAACTCTCCTCACTGACTTTCTCATCAACAATTGCATCCTCTGTGGATTTCTTTTTTCTTTTTTCCCTCTCAGAAATGATCTCCTCTAGTGCCATTTTGGCTTTGTCGTAATTATCATTGATAAGTGCTTTGTTTACTATGACATTGTTGTCCATCACTGGGAAAACCTCTTGCTTCTCCTGGTCCTGGTCTTGCTTAGGAAATATGTCTCTCTTAGTTGATGTATTCCCTCTCATGGACAACATGCCTCTTTTGATATTCCGGAGCTCCTTTGAGATCAAATCGCTCTTTGCCTTGGCCTCTTTATCAATGTTAGCAAGCCCAAATTTGTTTTTAGCATTCTCAAGAATACGATCTCCAAATCTTGCCCTCTCCAATTCCTTCAGAGCATGCAAATCATTACCAATATGTTCACTGTCTCCCACGGACTTTTCATCCATCTCTGTTCTTGTGTTCACGTTCTCTTCGTACTTTTTCAGATTTCTTACTTCCTCCTCATCCACTGCTGCACATCTTTGATTTTTTATGTAATTGTTCAGTTTGGCTGAAAAAATATGTTTGGCTTTACTCTGTTCTGAAACAGATTCATATTCATTTTGTGGCAAATCTAGTTTCTCATCAATAGAATCAAAATGGGTGGGTTTTTCACTTACATTAGGTTGATGTTTATCAATAACATATTCAATGTCACACTTGGAAAAGTTCCTCTTTGGAACAGGTGGAGGCTCTTTCACAAAACTACGTTTGTCCTCAAGGGCGATAGTAGCTGATTCACTTCTAATTCTGGAGACAATACTGTCTGCTGGAACAGTCTTTTCTCTCTTCTTGTTGGCTCTGTCCTTTGAAAGGCCATCTCTCTCCTTTAGTTCTCGCTGCTCCATTTCTTCTACGTCTGAAAATGCCTTGTTGTTTTCTGACCACTGAGCTGCAGACCTAGCTTTATTTTTCGCTGCATTTATTGCCTCTTTTGCTGCTCTAATCACATCCATTGTACTTATGACTTGGCTGCCAGATTCTTTCCTCTTTGAGACAGGCTGTGATCCAAAATCTTTGTCTTTTGCTTTGTTTGGTTCAACAGAGCAGGATGTTCCTACTTGTTCGTTTGGTGACAACTTGTCTTTCTCAATTGAGTAGGGTGAAATTACAAGTAACTGATCTTTGTTGACGGTTAAAATATTTGGGGAAAGCTCTATGTCTGTTTGTGATGCTAGTGGGGAGAATTGTTTGTCTAACATCACTGGTGAAAGCTCATCAGATTCAGTATGTAGGAGGTCAAAAGCCTTTGGAGGTATTTGAAGATACTTATTATCAATATCTTCTTGGGGAGCTTTCCTGTACAAGTGCAAAGATGGATAGTTTTGTCTTTTAGCAGCTGGGCTTCTGTTCTTTTTCGAGTGCAAAAATGGGGACATTAGAGTTTCCTCACCTGCCGCTTCCTTTTTGGATTGGAGAAGATTAGAAAGCAAATAATCATCTGACAGATTCCTGTCAGTATTATGCTTTGAAAAATCAGCAGTTGGTGTGCTGGGAGATTCCAAGATTGGACTGCAAACTGTCTGTCCATCTTTCAAAATGACAGGAGTGTTCAAACCAGATACATCAGAATGTGTTAGTTTCCCATCATCTGAAATGGATGGTGATTGGACATCATCCTCAGGCAGCTCCAAAGTTTTAAATTTGGGTGGACTGTAACGGCTTTTAACCCGTTTCCTGTTGTCCTTGAGGTTGAAGAGAATGCTAGAAGCTAGGGATTTGTAGCCGTCTCTTTTGATTGTAGGTTCCGGGGTTCCCTTGGCCTCAGAATGTGGTCTGAGTTGAAGGTCTAGGGCAGAGGGTGAGAGGACATCTTGGAGGATTTCTGATGTTTCTGTTGGTTGTCTGGAGGGAATGACTGGAGTCATCAGCTGACAGATACTGAACGGAGTTGAAGCCACCGAGCTAGATTCTTCAATTGCTTTTACCTCCACAGATTTGAACTCCTTTTTGACCACTGAAAAACTTTCATCAGCTGTCCTTGAACAACTGTCTCTGTCCTGACTTGGTATTCCTGGCTGATTGACTGGAACAGCGCTAGTTGCCCTGGATCTGTTTCGTCTCCAGGGGGCAGCAGTTCCTTCTCCTACATGTGAAGAACACCTCTTCTCTGCAGGAGAAGCTGAAGGCTTTGGCAGGACCTTTGGTGGAGGAGGGGGAGGGATGGGTTTAGGAACAGTGCGAGGAGGTTCAACTGCTGCTGCTGCTTTCTGGCACGACTTTGACTCCACTGTGTGCAGGATCTCTTTTCTGTGTGAGTCTGTAAGTTTCTTGTAAAATGGTAAATCATACCATTTAGGGACAGTGTCCGTGGGAAGAATAGACGGTACTGTTTCCTCCTGGGCAAAAGGGAACTGATTGAAATCCCTCCACGATTGAAAAGGGCTAAACTCACTGTGCAGGAAAAAGTTCTTGATGTTGAGTTTCTTTAATTTCACAGTGGTTTTCCCATTTTTTACTTTTGATGATTTTCCTGAGGACAGTACAGAACCTTTGTTCGTTTTGTTTGTCATACCATCTTCAGTGTGTCCATGATGGTTTTTGTGTTGTCTGTCTCTCATATTAGCATGATAATCCGAGGAGAATTCTGATAACTCTCTTTGGATGCTCCGAAGGGCTGACTTATCCCATGATTCCCCATTAGTGTCTCCATTTTTAATCAGCATCCCCTCGCAGCTTTTCTCCGTGACACTGAAGGCCTTCAGAAAGGAGGACATGTTGGATATGTTCGTATGCTGCTGCTTCCATGGCTGGGAATTGTTCTTTTCATTTTTGCTATGCCCATGCTTTTTAGATTCCTTATGGTGAGTCTTTTTCAGAGGATCACCCACCAAGGGTTTATGGCAACTGAAAGGCGAGTATCCGTACAAGAACTCATCATTGTAAACTGCATCATCTCCTACACAGAGACTCCGAAAAGCCCGGTCAGTCAGAGTACTGACCTCACGATCAGTCTCATCCATGAACAAATCTGTAAAGCCATTAGGGAAGCGGTGGTGGAGCATGCTTCCCATCCGATGGCTCATGTGACGCTTTTCCCCTGAGCTCATGATGTCATCAGGCGTTTTCTGTCTTCTGCATCACCAGTTTTGAATCCTCTGTTGCTGCTGTAGCTGTGTAGTGTAGTTGTCCAGCTCAAGTTTGTTATCTGGGAGGTGACGTGATATTTGCACATCCTAGAAAACAAAATGGAAATCAGCGTCAATCCTGAAAATTCACATTATCGTGGTTGATTATGCAGAAATATTGGTCGATCATGATCAATGAAAGATGTTGTTTTGTTGATATATTTATAAAATGGTTTGGAAGTCGGTGCTTGCACTGGTGACCTTTACATACACAACATGTGGCAGCTTCAGCCATGCTGTCACTATGCAGGCAGCAGACAAACACTTCATACCATGCGCTTGTCTATTAATATCCCTTTGGAGTGTGAGTCCTGCAGCAGGGTGGCTGTCAGAGCTTATACCCAAATCTGTTTACAACAAAACATGTTGACCATTTCCTATGTTAATGTGATTGGACTTTTAAATAGCTTCAGTGATTGCCTGACTAGTTGACAAACTTTGACCAATTTTGAAATGTTTTAACTTGGCTATAAGATCAGTTTGGATGTGTCTGTGTCTTACTGTTGAGACATTGTGCATTGTTGGGTAATTTATAGATATTTTTCAAACATTTTTTGGTTTGATTTGAAGCTAGTCCCGTTTAATATTTACATACTTTTAACTCGTATTTCCAGTTGGGATTTGTGGTATATCTATATTAAATTGTTGGCTGCCTTTAAACTATCTTGTTGTATTCATCAGCTTCCTGATTCTGTTTTAGCAATCTATTTCTACTTGGATATACATTACCTATTTTAGGTACTGCTATCCTAACTGTGACCTATATTTTCTGATTTTTTGGCTAGCCTACTTTTTGCTTCTTTAAAAGGTTAATAATGTTTACTTCTCTTTAGCTTTTATTATTTACACATGTTAAATTCACGTTAAGCTTTTGTTTAGGAATTAGCCCACCTTTAGTCGTTTCTCTGCCAACTCTTATATTTTTAGTAATTTTCTGTTTGTTTGTTTTTTCTTGCTAATGATTAGCCAATTGACTTTATCTTTGGCTAAATGTAGGCTCTGTCTGGACTTGCTTGTAGTTCTGCCTCAAGGTTTACTAACACAGCTCTGGAAATACAAAATAAATCATCATACTATTCTCCAGAACAGCAGCTGCTTTACTGTAGCTGTCTTTAGCCATCTGGGTGAGGTCTCAGAATAGCTCATTAACCCATTTATATGCCCTGACCCAGGAGCAGAGACACTGGCATATAATTCAACTCACCAACTATCCTCACAACCCACTCTCTCCTTATAAGCCGAAGAAAGTGTGTTATGCAAATATAAATATAGACATTTCACAAAATACTATGATTATCTGAAGGATTTTGTTATTACATTTAAAGCATTTTAATATATTTGGAATTGGGTTTCATTTAGTTAGGTTTAGAAATGGAATCAGTAACCAGTGTATCAAAACTCGAAACCGTTACAAAATATTATATTGATTATATTTTATGATTGTTATGATAGAAAATTTAACAATTGTATGTAAACCAATACAGTTTTAGCTTGTGAAAGTTCAGACTACAAATGGTTGCCAACAGCCTGTCAAACCTTACAGCCACTAAGCCGTTGACAACGATTATTAACTCCAGAATCATAAACTCTAGCAGTCAAACCAAAGGTAATAAAAAATAAAAACGTGACTGTATCAGTCTCTTTACTTCTGGAAAGTTTTAGCCTTTAGTTAAACGAAAGTGGCGCTCTTATATCCACAGGTCACTTACAAGTGCACATTATTATCATTGTTGCCAAAGGTCAGTACCACAGGGATTACTTTTCTAGAACCGAGTGACTTTACTGTATCTCGCAGCTAACTTACTGAACACCTTGGCGCTCATGTAGTTTTTGGACACCAGCCGTCTTCCAGGTCTCATGACCAAAGATCAGTTAGCAACCACGGTGCTTTCCCAGCACCTGCCTGTGTATTTATACCCATGTAACAAAGAATCCAACTAACTTACAGTTTGAAAAGCACACACATAATTTTCCGATTTCAAAGATTTGTTGAGTATTGTGACCACAGGAATGGTACACATGTTCCTGACATTAAATGAATAGCTTATAACATTTGTATTTTGTCCATGTGCCTCCTCACCTGCTTCAGGGTCTTTCATTATGATGGTAAATGTCCAGTCTTGACTCTGGTGTCAATGACTCCTCACTGTAGGATCCAAATGTCCAATGGAGTGCCACCT